AGCACGTACCACTGTTTCTATCCAACTGTCTCCATTGCCATACTTATCTCAGAACTTGAATCTTGTCAGATGAGTTCATGCACTGGGCTGGTCTACCTTACTTTGGATTTGTTGAAATAAAATGACAGCAGTGTAATGAAATTTGCCTTTGATTGAGCAACCTCCCTGAACTTCAAAAAAGTTAGATCTCACTTTGAAATTGGTTCAGCTTTGAGCTGGTGTTGGACCATGTAACCTCCTGAGGACCCTTCCAGACTAACTGTATGATCTGATGAATAACTTTCCGCCTTAAGATGACAGATTGTCTTATGTCATGATGGTATTCTTAGCAAACATCTGTCAACACACGTATTCAAGTCCCCCATGCTTCAATCAGGGCATTGTGCTGTTGCCCATTTATTGACCAGTCTCCTTTTGTTAGGCAGCATCACCTTAGATAAACCTCTGACTGCGGATTTTTGCACAGGTACATGGAAACAAGTTTGAGGCAGTAAACTATTAATTTGAAAAAGTAATTGTGCATCTTTCTAAAGAAAGAAATTAACAGTTTGTGGCTGATAGACTTAAGACAATCTTTTACAAATCAAATCACAGCCTGGATTTGTGTTAAAAACAGTCTCCCTTTTCAGGTCTTGTCTTCACCATATTTAAAAATTCATGATCCTGCCAACTTATAGATACAATATAGTAATTTCTGACTTTATTCTTTTTATGACCTAAACTGAATGCATGAGGATATAACTTATGTAGATTTTTCAAGAGATGCATTTTAACCCCTTACACAACAGCTAAAAAATTAATGCTGCTGTATTAAAAAAAAAAAAAAAAGAAATCTTGCTTGAGCCAAGAGTGGCAAGAGAAATCCAACTATTTTGAATGTGTTTCCTCTAAAGCTTTAGGCACTCCCATCAATTAATGTATAATTAACAGTGTTTCCAGTGGAGTTGCAAACTAAATTTGGTATTGCTACCAGAGGATACACCACACTGAGAAGCTCAGTAAACATGTAATTAGGTCACATTACTCCTGTCCAGTTCATCAGAACATTCCAAGATAATGGCACAGGAAAAGACTTTCCCACTACATTAGCTATTTTTGTGGAATCCACACAAGAATTCAAAGCTACATAGTAGCTAGATATGTTTATAATTTCTTACATCAGTAATTTAATCTCTAAGATTTGAAAGAATTTTCAATTTGAAAGAATTTTCACCTCCTTTGCAGTAACAACTGAAAATTATATGTATCCTTGTATCAGCCCTGCATCAGGTATATGCAGTTTTTCAAGATTTGTGATAAGGAAATCTAAATCGGAGGTTACACATGAGACTATTAGGAGCCTAAAGTAAAAAGCAGAGAAAAACAGAATGTCTTGCATCCCCCTGAAACTAAACTATAGTCTTTCTTCTCAAAGGAACATGAAGCAAAAGAAATTTTCAGTGCATTTTTCATTGATTTTTAAATACTATTTTTATAAGGTAACTCACTAGGGGGAATATTCACATATAACATGAGACTCAGGTTTAAATTCCTTCTCTATAGGGTTTGCTAAGAGGACACATGAATACAGATCACACTCAAAAAAATTACGCACTACTTGGTAGGCTTTAGAGCTACTTCAACTTTCCCCATGGTATAATGAATATTTTCAGATCATATACAAAGTTGAATAGTTCCTGAAGGGAAGTCGGAGAAGCCAAGCAATTAGCATGCTCATCTGGGACATGTGAGACAGACTGAAATTCCTTTTCCAAATCAGAATCTCTGCTCCTGCAGATACAAAAATAGAAATGTGCTATTTTCCTCACAAGACTGATGTAATTAGGTGTGATGTCTATGCAGGAATATTATTTTTTCCACTGTTTTTTACATTTTAAAACAAAGCAACTAGCTTCTAATTCTAAGAAAAAAATGTTCTAGGAAAAATACATTTTATAGCTAGCTCTGCTCCATATATTACTGAAACCTGGTTTGTTTAATAATTACAAAATCACCTAGATCTAGTAGTATTTATTCTACAAATACTACAAACCAAGAAATAAAAGTGCTACTAAATTCAGCAAAGACTGTACAATTTGGCCTTTGCAGTAACAGTTTGATCTCCTACACCAGGCAACCAGGTGTTTTCCAGTAAGCCGATACCTCACACCAGCTGCAAAGACTAGTGGTGAATGGTAATTTCATCCACTCCCTGATACTCCAGTCTCTGTTAGATTGGATGGAAGCTCATGAGGAAAACATTCCAGTTCCCACCTCAGCAAAGAATACTAAATTATCCACATGACTGAGTCCCTTCCATTCCTGCACCACTGAGAAGAGGAAAAGGGACAAACATCTGTCCCCTGCTCCTTTCTGGGCTTCATTAAGAAGTGACAGTGACTTGATCCTTTTAAGACTCAAGTTGAGAATAAGATGCAAGAGGATTCTGTACTTAAGAACTGTCATGAGTTGAAGTAGAAAAAGTAGTTTTGGAGGCAGTAGGGGTTTGAGTGCTAAATACAAATGTTATAGTCTGTCACAATGTGTTCTACATGCAAGACACCCAAAGTACATTTTGAGCTCCTTTTTGACACAGAAAACTAGAAGAATTTATTTTTTTTCCTGAAGAATATTATGAACTATCTGATTAATTATTTCAGTACTGAAATGCAACAATGTGTGGAAACTAAAGACTTTGTGTAAAATCTCCTGAGCTGAAAAGAAACTGTACAGGACAGAATATGAAGAGGGAACAAGCCTAGAGGATAGACTATAGTCCGAAGCATCTTCACTGTTGTTTGTTTACTGTGCTTCCTTTCCTAAGTATTTTCTAAGTCTTTTCAAGGTGATTTTAAAAGGGCAAGTGTGATATAAGCCAAAAATTCAAGTCCTCCTACATTTGTCTCATACCTACAACAGTTCCTAAGGGAGAGAAAAGACATGTCTCCTGTAATGCAAGGTTTTCTCCTTTTCTGACAAGGTGGCAAACAAAGCTAATGAGGCTTCAGAACCAGTCACTCAATACTATTACAAAAAAAGACAGCAAACGAAAAATAAAAAGTAGTGTAACAACAACATTTTCCATGAGGTGTCAGCAGAAGTATCTGAACATATTGCTAAAGCCTTGCAGGGCTTTTTCAGGCTGTTAAGAAGTCGCAGAAAAATGAATTTCATGTGTGCAATATAAATAACCTTTCATAATTCATCTTTTAGTTGCTCAGTACTCAGAGTGATATTACCACTCACTTCCTCTTTCCCTTTCCAATATTCACATGCACTGGAATTTCTGTGCTGCTCTTCCCTCACCCTAACAGGCCTTTTCAAAATGTTACTGATCATCCATCTGCCAAGTTTAGTTTCCAGCCCCCTGCAACCTGGAAAAAAAATCATGTCCCACAGGTCTTTCATGTTGAACACTGTTATGAGAGAAAAATAGCATAAGTAATGTATCACAGTGTAAGCACGTATTGCATGGACAGTCAGAATGATCCAAGAGGAAGTTTGTTCTTCATTAATACGATTAACATATTTAAGAAGCCCAATACTATACTTACTTGGTAACATGCCCTTCTATTTTGTATACATGATTTTTATATTTATCATCCAATAAGACTCGTGATATTCTAAAACTTAAATATATATATGTAGGATCAGAAATGGTTAAATATATACCTTCAGTCTTGATAAATAACATATGCTTTTATGTGCCTCTTGGTTATCCACTAAAGATTGTTAAACATACATTTTTCAAGGTAAACATTATGAATGAAATCAAGTTAAAGAAGCATGAAGTCTACTACATGAAAGGGATTAAAAACACAGCATACTGGAACCTGGAAAATGAGATTTTTCTATATTCATATTTCAACTAATTAACATTTAACAGGGACAAAACAATATTTGAGTACATGGACAATAGACTTATAAGCCTCCACTTCAGGTTTCATTTGAAGTTTGACTCCATGTTTGGATGACAGAATTGAGAAAAAGTTAGGAAGTTGATATTGAAAAAGAAAATAAGAAAAACTGTAAATTCCACATATCCTAAGGGCCAAACCACCATCTCATAATAGGAAAGGTCAGTTGCGTCCCATTCCTTAAGTCTCACACACAAACTTATTTCGATGACAGTTTCAGAAACATAGAGCTGACTGGGGAAGACTATTGGTAAGGTCCTAAATAATGACCTGCATCTTGCTCAGCTGGAATGCAGAGCTACCAGAAGGAATGCAGATCATACTGATAGCTCCCAGTAATTTTTTTTTTAAGTTTAATATTCGATTGTCCTGGGTTTGGTCAGGACAGAATTAATTTTTCTCCAGTAGCCATAGGAGGGTGGGGTCTGGAGAAGTGTGGGTGTGTCTAGGTTGTTATTCTATACCACCACATGTCACAAGTAAGGGACACTCACTTCCATGAGGGAAGATATGGCTTTGGATCAGGGTGGGAGGGGGAAACCTGTACGCCACTGTTCTTTGTCATCTGGGGTCCTCGGTGACACCCTCTTTTGTACACTTTTGTCATTAATATTCTTGCTTTTACTGTTTACTTCCCATATCTCATTGCTGTTTCTAGTAAATTGTTCTTATCTCAACCTGTAACCTCTGCCTTTTGCCTCTCTCACTGGAGGGGAGGAGTGGTCCATGGTTTTTTTAGTGGGAGTACTAAATACCATTCCTAAACCATGACAATAATGTCACTGGCAAATTTTTTATTCCTGATGAAAATGTGAGGCAGAAATGTCAAGCAATATGGATCAATAATTTGATCAGCCCCATGTGAACAGAATTCCAGCAAACTGTAGTTCCTCAGAACAGAATAAAGTTTATATTACATAGTTCCTTGAAGAAAATTCATTGACATTTTTTTCTTACATGTGCACATGAACAGCACTATTGTACATTTTCATCTGACTATTTTATGTTTCTTTCATACGCATTAATCCTTCCAAAATAGAGCCTCTTCATTTGCAAACTACGAAACCCCTAAGAATGCAAACAGAAAGGTGGCTAATTACTCACCTGCATTGGAGCCTGTCAAATTGTAACGTGCATTCAGCTTTTTAATGATATTTTCATGGATCTGATACCAGTCACTCTCCGTGTTGCACCTAGAAAAATTATAACTTTCTTAATTCTGAAATGGGAACACACGTTTATCAGATCAGCTTCACAACATATCCCTAAATAAATCCTCTTTAGTGCATGAAACAAAAATGCAATAGGAGCTAACAAAGCCCCATGAAACTGCCTGTCCCAATGGAAAAAGTAAGAGTGCTCTTATCATTTGAGAAAGGCACCAAGAAATACTTGCTTCACGTAAGGATGGGAGAAAGATAAGAGCAATTATGCTGAGCAACTCAGCCGTGACCAAGTTCATTTCTGTATAGATCTATCCTTTAGGGCTAAACCGTATCTTGTGACATTCAGTGCGAAACACAGGACTCAGAGCTGATCTTAGACAGAAAATTCTGTGTTGTACACTTTGAATTTATTTAAAATAGGATGTGATCTTCAGGAGGTAGTCAATGAAAGAGCAAATTACATTTCAGTATACATTTAGTAAATTGTTGGTTTTCCATAAGGAAAACCTGACGATGTTCTAATGATCACTCTTTAAAGTTTAGACTGAAATTAGCCTTAGCACCAAATATGGTCTTAAGTGATATGTCTTCCATTGTTTTTGTTATTCCAAAACAAACTGACAAAATTAAAAAACAAACAAACTAAACACCCCACAAAAACAAACAAACAAAATTTTTTTTAACCAACAGTGAACATTTATCTGACTTCAATGTCCCAGGAGCCTAAATAAGAGCCAGCCCACATTTTACACTATATTGTTTTTCTGCAGCACTGATTCCAGGAGTTCTAATTCAACACAGATACAGAAAAAAGGAGAAAGGCTGCCTGAAAGAATTCCAAGCCTTCAAGATTTGAGTGCTAAGTCTGTGAGGGGCAGAACTTTCTCATGTGCACAACAATACATATCCCAGGTATATGCACTGAGAATAGACCACTCCACAAAACAGTTTTTATTATAATGTCCAAGATCATCAGGAAATGACATACATTGTGTTGCTATCAGAAAATTGAACTTTCTTCCAATTACTATAGCCAAAATCTACTATTTAACCAATCATTCATTTTAAATCTACCTTTGATTTTTTCATTCTCCGAAACTGTCTTTTATACCTTTGTTATTCCCATTATATAATTGTTTAATTTCACAAAAAGATACTCTGCCTGCTTTTTTCTGTAGTTAAAAAGTACTTCCACTAGCTGCCTAGGAAGAACAAAGCATTTAAATAAGTCCTAAAAGCACTTTATGTTACCATAAAAAGAGAGCTCCAGAAGGATGTGAAAAATGCTGAAACATACAGAAATATCTAAAACGATGTAACCTCTATCTTTAATATTATCCCACTTTATAAACACATCTGTAGAACTAGCCAAAATTGCCACACTGTGACCAAATAAGAAAAATTAGCTACTACTACATGTGTTTGGAATAGAAGGGAGCTATAGCTATAGCTCACACTGTACTTAGCACCACTGATTCTGACGCAGACTGGCTCAAAGGTACTTCCAAAAATTAAGAAAAAAGTACTACTTACATATAGACTTTCAAGACAAGGTCGTCCTTTGAATCTCCTGCCAGCAAATCTGCAATACTGAGGACTGCACAGCCAAAGGGCCGTCTATACTGCACATTGCAGGCATTTTTCTTTTCTCCAGCTCCCATTCGCCCTGCCAAACAAAACACATATTTGATGCATAATCCATGGAACCATCGTCTCTCTTCAAACCACAGAAGCGAGGCAGCAAGCAATCCAGCTCAGCATCTAAGCAGCCAATGCCAAGTGTACACACTGGGAACCTGGTCCATCTTTATCCTGCATTCGTACAAATTCATACCAATGGTACAGGAAGTCCACCACATATGTGGTGATCTTGAATGGTCTTAGATCAGAGGTTCTGCTCATCCTCTCATGATCTCCATTCAACAAAAAATACTTTCTGATACTCAGTGATAGCAAGCTCATGACACTACCAAGTTAAATGTAGAGTTTGGACATGATAGACTGTTCAACATTTGCTGTCTGGGAAGAATTATTTTACTGTGATTGTTGTTACATGTGAGAGGTATTGTGATTGAGCCATTAAAAATTACTACTCAAATGCTGTTTTCAAATAGGAAACTATCAAGCAATGGAATAATTGACCAGCTGAAGAAAAATCAGGTAGAGATGAAACACAGGGAGAAAAGATGACAAAGGGCCAAAGAACAAATTATGATAAAGAAAGAAAGAAGGAGATTTGAAACAAATATTTTTCCTAGCCTTTTCTATTTGATTTAAATACAATTGATCAATCTCCTCAGTGTGTTCCTGGCATTTGAAACTGCCATCTTTCTAGGCATTTTATTCAACTGAGCTCTGGCAGCTATGTATCTTTCCCACCAAGTCTTAATTTCTGACAAAAAAACCCTATGGTTGCAGTTGCTGCAGGGCAATGTCTCCTCCAAATATTCCTATGCATCACAGCAGCTTGAAGAGTAATTGTTCATTTTCACACCATGCAGCATATAAATGTCATTTTAACTTTTTAATATTTCAGTCATTCATTTATAAACTTGACTGAGAATATATTTGAAAACTATATAACCAGAAAAATTCTACTCACTACTGTTTTTTAAAACATTTATTCTTAACAAATATACTTATATCAGAGCTTACCATATCCTTTCTGAATCCTTGCCAATAAAAACAAACCACAATATTTTGAGGAAATACCAAACCACTATGAAAATTCAAGGAAAAATTATTCCTCAAAACTGTAAATTAACATTAACTTTGTAACAAGTTGTTTCTGAACTCAGCACAAGTTAGAGTGACCTATATTTCAAACCTAAATATCTTTCAAAAATAGGAGGAGACGTTTTATTTAGTACTGCCCTGATGCAACTAGAGACAGTTTATAAAGAAAACAATATATCTAAGAGGTCAGAAGTAGACCCAAAGATTATTGTTTCACATCAGTACAGCCCAGAGGATAACTTCCTAAAATAAATACCTAACACAAATGTACACTTTTTTTCTCCTCCACTTTGTTCTAGAAGACTTGATATCTGTCTATATCATCAGGGATTAAAATTATGGACTATGAAACATAGTCCATTTCTTTCCCTCTCCTCCTTTTTAAAGAGGTCAGGCAGAAGACAAAATTCATCTGAACCATTTCAGATTTACTTCAGCTACTATGTATTAATTAGGTACATTAAAAGTCTGGGCAAATTTTTCTTTGAACAAAGGATGCTTGAAATTACACTTGGGAACAAGAATGGACTCAATGACAAGTCCATCATCTTAACACAATTCATATTTGACACTTTCATTTTGTTTTTTTGATTGTAATAAAGTATTCTGCATCTAAACTCAGTTAGCAGTACACTTTAGAAATACTATAAGACAATGCTGAGAAATCCAAAGCAATTTTTCTATGAAAGCCCAGGCAGTTTCTTTTCCAAAAATTATTCAAAGGTCTAGCTAATACAACAAATCCCAAAGCTGACTCCAAGCAGTTTTCGTCTATTTACTGTCATATGTCTAACAAATACAAGATTATACCTACCTATTCGGATAATGTGCACAGTGATATAGATGTCCTTCCTGAGTTCACTGCTACCCAAATCCTGCATAAGATCAGAACCTCATTATTTCTGACTCCCAATTAAAATGTGACATTTTAAAGAGATCTGTACACACTGCTTTCACTGCCAGTGAAAGTGATAAATGAACAGTGAGTTCATTTATACAGCATTAACAAATTATCCCTTCAACACTTTAAATTGGTGGTCATGCACTCAAAATGACTGTGCTAAAATAACATGATTAGAATTTGCTGCAATATGGCAAAATCAGTAGAAGGACACAAGAGACTTGCTGTGTGCTTTGAACAGCAGCAACGCATTTCTGCAATTCCAAATATTCCAAAAGTACAGAGAGTGCTGCACAAACAACTGTTTGGATGTAAATAGCACAAGGAGGAAAAATAACTGGTCCTTGTTGCAGGGACAAAGACTGGTACATATGCCTACGTGAAAGTTTAGATGAGTGTCCACACACTGCCAGAAAATATTCAAACTGGGAGTTCAGCAATACCCTCAATCCAGCCTTTAGAGCTAATGTTCATAACAACGTACAAGCTTAGGGAGCAGTTCTGAGTCAACCACAGAATAACAATTTAATTCAACTTCTATTTTCAATACCCCCCCCCAAAAAAAAGCACAAAGAAAAGATTGAGAATAGGAAGAACTCACCACAAAGAGAGAACAGTGTCTTTCAGGCTTTTCTGGGCATTTTGGCAAACCATTTCTATTCAGTCTTAAAAAAAATCTTTCACTATAAGAAAACAAATATGACAGATACGTTGAACAACACTACAGCAAAAGTAGATCTCATTTTGATCTTATTTCCATATACAACCTTCCTCAAGATACAAATGAATGAAATAATTTCTTTCTGAAAGTCCCAGCTGTATCAATAAAAAATCACAATCACACTAGTGAAGGGTGGTGATTAACTTAATCATCTAACAAAATTATTAAAAATTCAATACAAAATAGACGACTGATTGTCATGTGGAAGAATGATATTGTACATTCTAGTACACATTCTAGTACATTCTAGTAGAGAAACACTAGCAATAAAATCCATTCATCCTAGAACTAAAATTAGATGCGTAATAGTTGGTATTGATTCTTGCTAAACAAATGTCAACATTGCCACGCTTGTATTCAAACAATATTCTTTTTCCCAGATAGGAAGATGATGGTAGGGGACATTTTTCCTATTTAACTCTATCAAAATCTCTCACTAGAGTACATTGATTTTAGCAGTCTTGTAAGAGTCTTGAAAGATCCAGCAGGGCCAATTTTATTTTTGAAATCCTGTTTTGCAATCCACTGTGGGGTGTTAAATACTGAAGCTGATATAAGTACTAACACTGCTAGTAGGGAGATACAGAGAATTCTTATTTCCAAATAAAACAAGACCCCATTGAAAGAGAAATCACTTTTTGAAACATTCCCATTTAATAGTAGGTCCATTATGGATAAACTCTGAGCAAACTTGGCAATGCATACATGGGAAGATTATGAAAAAGCAAACTTTCTATGCTTTAGATAATTTTCTCCAAGACACAGACTCGTAAGATATGTAACAATCATATTTCTGTAGTGAGAGAAGTGGAAAATGGAAAAAACAAAAGAAGTCAGATGCATTTTATTTCCCTTCATCCTCTTACCCCCAGCCCCAGCTGATCAGACACATGAGTCTGGATGTCCTGTAATGCTCAAATCAGAAATAAAAGTTCTCAAGTGCAACTAGTTTTTTTTCTCAGCTGCATCCATATCTTCTGCTTATTCCAGAGGCTAAACACAGTTTACTACTGCTCTATGTAGCTTTTCAAAATGCAGCTGGAAAATCACTAGGAATATGTTGGATAAGATCCAACTCAGTAGAGACTAATTAAATCTTTATTGCACCAGCATTTGCCTGGTAGGAAATCTGCATTGACCATTCACAGAATCAGTCATTCACGTTGAAAGGGACCTTAAAAGGCCTCAGTGTCCAACCTCCTGTTCAAAGCAGGGTCAGCTATCAGGTCAGATTAGCTTGCTCAGAGCTTTAGCCGGTTGGGTCATGAAAACCTTAAGCTGTGGAGACCACAAGGCTACTCTGAAAAACCTGTTTGAGTTTTTGGCTGAACTCAGTTTATTCTTTACATCCAAATGAACACTCTCTTGTTAAAGTCTATATCCCTTTTCTCTCTCATTGTCCCACCATGCACTGTAAATGTTATTGATCTTGTAGGTAAATAGGGACAAACTTTTTAGCAGAGCCAGTCATCCTGCTAAAGAACCAGGAGTAATGGTTATGAACTAAAAGAGGGTCTATTCAGACTAGATATAAGAAAGATATTTACAATGACAGTGGTAAAACACTGGAACAGGTTTCCCAGTGAGGTGATAGATGCCCCACCCCCGGAAACATTCACAGTCAGTTTGGATGGGGTTCTGACCAGCAAGACTCCAAGACTCTATGATCTTGGAAGTCTTTTCCAAACTTAATGATTCTATGATCATGCCTCAGCTCACTGAAGAGGGGTTGGAATAGACAACCTTTAAATGGTCCCTTCTGACCCAAACCATTCCACGATTCTACAATTCTATGGCTTAGCTCCCCTCAAAACTGCTTCTTCTCCAGCCTGAACAAGCCCCACTGCCTCAAACTGACCTCTCAGGGCAGGAGCTCCTGTCCACAAACAATGTGAGCTGTCCTGCTGAGCTCACTTCAGCTCATTAACATTGCTCTTGTATTGAAAAATTTGCAGCATATAACCAATGCTGAGCAGCGAATGATCGCTTCCCATAAGCAACTAGCTATGTTCTTGTTGACACAACCTAGGATGCTGTTAGTTTCAAAAGCACATTTCTTAAGAGCTATGTCTGGAGACTGCTTTATGTTTTTATGTGCCAGCTACCCAGCCTGAACTTGCAAACACTTAGATTTTTTCGTTGTGACTACTTGAAAACTTTTGTGCAATCCTCAGCTGTACAGCTTTTATATCAGACATCATAAAAGGCAAAACCTAAGAAAGAGTAGAGCTGAACTCAAACACCTTGAAGTGCATGAAAATGTCATTTCCTCAGAAAATGGTATTTTTCTCGTTCATGTTTTAAGACAGAATGAACTTTTGTAGCTTAGGTCTCCATGAAAACTTTAAATTTGAGTTTTAAAGACTGTTCATGTGAGTGTATTTTCACTGAAATGTAAGTTGGTATTTTGCTGCTGATTTACAAATGGTTTTCAAAATAATTCTGCCCTTTCATTTGGATTTAGTTCATTTGCAATACTGGAAAATACAGTAAAAAAAAGTGCACAGCTTTGTTTACAGGTCTCATACAAAGTTATTGTACATTGAACAAGAATTATTAATTATATTACCAAAGCAGTTAAAGTTTTAGGACCCCATTATGTGTGGCACCATGCAAAATTGAATAAAAATAAAAAAGTCTCTGTTCCAGCAGTAACAATACAGCTTCTGTGCACTGAAGCCTGAAGTGCATTGGTATGCATCAACACAAATTTGGCCAATACGAGGTGATTTTGAATTTCACCGCTTTATCTTCAGTCTGTAGAACAATTTAAAAGTAAGACATACATACATACACACACACACACACCATACTTTGCTACATTTTTGTATTTAAACGCTAGATTTGTTGCTTCAAAGAAAAATACCATTCATAAGCTATCTTCACAGTTTACCTATTAACTGGCAAATAGGAAATTTAATTGGGAGTGTATTCTATATTTAATGAAGCTTACATTCTGCACAAAGGCACGTATTTTGAAAGCTTCCAACTCACTATCCACTATAATATGAAATTTTCAAGCTCTGCTTATACTCACAGACCATGAGATTATGAATCACAATACAGTGAAAAGCCAAAGACTTTTGTGATGCCACAAAGAAATACACTGATTGCAAAAGATACGTAATGGTTATGCAAATTTAATTTCCTCATTTGAATTTGAAATTTTGTTTCACTGAAACACAGGGCCCAGCGGCGATGAAAAAAGCAAACTGAAAACAACAAGGAAAAGAAATCTTAATCCTTGTTTGATGTTTTATGATACCTTTTTTTTACTGGAAACATATGACAGTACCAGTTACAGCTCAGATTAAAATGGTTATCTTTGAACATTTCCAGAGAGCAAAGGCAAGCAGTTAGACTTGTAAGATTACAAGACAGAAACGGCAATGTTATATCTAAGTACAGAGAGCATGTGCATTTATATATTATTTCAAAGGATTTATATAGAGACAAACAGGTTAGAAAAAGTGCTTAAGGAAAGTAAACAGTTGTCATAAAACAAAGTAAAGACACAGTTCCCAAGATCTGAAAGCTTGGCTTCAAACAGCAGCAAAAACCTCAGAGCTAGTATCTTATGGCACAGCAGTTTTCTCAACAGCCAGCTACACATACATAGATACAGCAAATACACACAGCAGTACCCCAAACCAGAAATACCTCTCCTTTGTATTAAGATGATTTGATTCTAGTTTAGATTTTAATGAATTTTTTATGAGCACCAATCTCACCATTTAAACATGCTGTACACATCTAAACTCAGCTGTCTTCCCACTGAAAATAAGGAAATAACTAATGTTGGAGAGATTAATTTAAGAAGGTCAACAAGGGATTGTTGTACTATAACTTCCCATGTATTAGCAGACTAACAATGTGTTCCAAATCTGCAGGCTTAACATTCGCATTTTAAAGAAACACAGCTAAAATTTGTTCTATTTTCATATGTGACCCCTATTTTCTTAGTATTAGCAGGAAAATATTACCAGCCACATGGTACCAGTCTAGACAGATTGCTTGCTCTATGATTTATAAACACACATCAAAAAAGAACCAGCCAGATTTATACTACATGGCATATTCTTGTGGCAAAGCTATGACATCAAATAGTCATAGTTCTCAGTATAGCTCCACTTTCAGACGTCTTTATAGATGCTCTCTACTTAAATATAGCTTAACAGTGATTTCTAAAGTAAATAATGAGAGGCAATATGAGAATACTGCCTCATAATTCACCAGCCCAAGTTTATCACATTCCAGAACACTGTTAATGGATGTTCATTAGGAACTTGAGTCTGAACAGACTTCATTTAAAGCTAAAGGCTCTGTGACTTCATAAAACACAGATCAGATACAAAATCTTACCTTCATACTTAGTGGTGAAATGCAGAAAAATGTGATACAACATATCATAAGTTACTGAAAGATCATAAAGTCTTAAAATATATCCTTAATCAGAGAATAACTAAATGATAAATGTACCAATGCGACTTAGCAGTACCAGCTAATCCACAGTTAGTCAGCCTCTGTATTTTACCTGTTATGCACTTAAAAAACCATACCCATAACTGTAAAATGCTAGGCAAAGAGCAGAGGGGGACAGAAAAGGAAGAATGAGTAGACAGAAAAGGAAGAATGAGTACTATAAAAATAAGATGTCAGCCAATTTAAGATAAAGATCAAAGCATTAACACTACAAATAAATAAATGAATAAAACAATCTTACAATGTTTCATCAAAGCTTATCTTCTGGTCCCCTAGCCATGCTGACAACGTCGGGGTAGAAGAAGAAAAAAATATTGAAGTGCTAGCTTTATGCAGTGGAGTCCAATTTTCATTGGTTAGCTGTACAGCTAACAAGGAGAAAAAGGAAAAGAGAAAGTAGAAAACAAGATTGGAGGAAAAGAAAAACAGACTTATGTAGCTGAATCAAACTCCTCCTCTCATATTCTTTTACCTCTTTAT